GGCGGGTGCGAGTCCCGGAGGAGCCGCCGCCTTCGTGCCCTGCAGGGATGGGGGAGGCAAGGTGGAGAGCTGCCTCTTCTTTCCCGTCTACCTCGTCATCCACCTGCCGCTCGCATCGCTAACACCGTCCATTTTATCCAGACGTGCTTTTCCTTAAAGCCGTCTTTTTCTTGTGGTTTTTAAGATTTTTGTGTTAACCTCCCCTTCCCCTCTCTTGTCTTTGCCCCTCCCCAGTGACACTTTTAAATTGATAAAACTGGAAATGAACAGTAACTGATGTTTTCTAAGACATACCAGTCTGAAATGTAGGAGATGCTACTTTAACCTTTCATGCACCTGAAATTATTAAAATGTTAGGGTAAAGTAATTTCTGGAACTGAGTGAAGAGTGATGGAAAAGTAATGCTCCCTGTGTACAGAAGAGTAAAAACTGTACAAATTAATTTCTGTTCTAGTAATTGTATACTTCTTTTCCTTCCAAAGATGACTGACTTACCCATTCTCTAGTAATTTGAAGTCGTTGATAATACTTGCTAAAATATTGTTTGTTTGCAAAAGCAACATGTAGAGGGAAAATCCAACCTTAAGAGATCATAGACTAACGGAGATGAAGACTTTTGTTCTTCCAAGTTGATATTTTAATTGGGTGACAACGAAGACTGTAGAGGATGCGTGTACTTCAAAGCACTTTGAATTCAGGACTCAAAGTTTTGGGAAAATGAGACTGTTTATGTGCACATCTCACTGTGCTCAACAGAGCATGGAGTTGGTGGGACCAGCTCCATATTCTTGTAATCGCTAAACAGCAAACTAGTAAGAGTAGTCCTTGAATTTAGCTTTCATGAAGAATACTTATATTAGCAGCGTTGTCATTGCCTAAGAGTATTAGAGAAACTGGGTTTGTGAGAGAGAAGCTCATTTTCAAAAAAATTATATGTCATTTCTGATTCTTGATAAAAGACATATCAAAGCTTATTTTGTTAAGTCCTTCAAGGTTTGGAATTCCTGCCTCTGCGGCAAGACCAAAATTTGCTTTCCATTATGTGGAAGAAAAAAAGTAATCTGCCCAGCCTGTGGTACTTCAGTACCCTTCAGCTCGCAAGTCCAGTTGTGCTATGACTCTGTACTTGAAAAAGATACTGGCATGTATCATTCCTCGCTCTCTGTCCATATCTCCATCTGAAGTAAACAGGGCATGGAGCAGAAAGTGTACAACACGTTCAATATTTTGGATGATTGGGATAGCATGACTCGGATTCACCACACATGGTGGAGTCAAAGACACTTAAATGGGTTCTGTCTTTCACTGTAACTAACCATGTCTTTATTTCTGTGTCTTTCATTCTGACATTGGTATGTTTTACTTCTTAATAGATTGGGTTGATGTTGCCAATGATCTTTTAAGGAGCTGTCACATAAACCAGCACATAAAGCATCTCTCAGAATGTGGTGCTGATGTGTTTGTTCGTCTTTATGAGTCAATCTTAGGAGAAAAAGTACCAGGTGGGAGTGATAATTTCTAAACATGCTTTTCTTTTTTTTGTTTTTTTGTCTCTGTATATTTTGTAATGAACAAATTCAAGTTTGCAAAACTTACTACAGATATAGGGTTTTTAAAGTATTTGTGTCCTTCCAAAGACAAACACATAAGATTTAATTCTTTAAGAAGATTTAAGTAATATTGGATTTTTTTTGTTTGTTTTTTAACTGGTATGAATGGCAGCTATGAGGAAAGTTCACTAGTATAGCTACAGCAAAACTTTTTCTTTTGTAAATTAGGCCTTGAAAGCCATACACAGGCACAATACCTTTGAAGAGTGTGAATTGGCTCATTTCTCTTAAAGAAGTGTTAATACTGAAGCCTGTTCTTATAAAATGCTTAATACTTACAGTCTGCTAAGAGCTAAGCTGTGATTTAACTCTGGTTTAACCCAACTCCATTTGACTTCAGTGACAAAAATTAAGCAATGACTATACAATTATGTATTTGTTTGCTTTATGGTAAACTATTGTGTTTGGGAAGCGTCAAGACTCCTACTTGCAGAAGATTTTAATAGCACTGAGGTAACTGGCAGCTATTGGAGGTAGAAGTTCTGTTAAATATAAGCCTAGAACTAAAAATAATGTTGCTCCCAATTAAGTAGAATACATTGCATTCCAACTAGTCTCTGACAGGGGGAGAAGAGACCTTAACACAAACTGCAATTCCAATTTGATGATCTGAACTAGAGGTGTGTGCTGGGAGTGAAGGAGGAAAAATACTTTAGTAGTCTCTGTTCTTGAATTTAATACTTCAGCTAATAAAATCCTCACATCTTCCAGGGGGTGTTCTAAGTTTGTACTCAGCATTTATGAAAGATTTCATATGACCACATGATATTTGGGCTTTTCACCAAGTACACGAGGTATTGAAAAAATACAATAATACAAAAATAACTTGTAAGTGAAAGTTAAAGTAGTTTAGTCAAAACATCTGCAATAAGCTATCCATTTAGATAGCCTAAAATCTGTTATTTATTTTACATAGATTTCATAGCTACTCCTAGAAGTCAAGAGGATGATGCACATAATGTACAAGCAGTAATAGATTCCCTGGCATTGGACTATTTGCAGGTCAGCTTGTCACACATCACTGGTAAGTACTCATTTTAATGTAGACAAACACCAGCTGAATGTCTGTGTGGTTTAATTTGAACATTTTATAAGAACCGTATGTTATAAAGCATACTTTCATACTTACATGAAGGGTCTTTTTCCTGTAGTAAATGTCATCAAAACACTGAACACTTGCCTTGGACATCAGGTTATAAATTTAAATAGCAAGCAGAGAATAAATAAGAGCTGTCTTGTATGACACAGACCTGTAAGAAATGTTAAAGTTAACTATCAATGGTAATTCACTTGTCTGCTAAAGTGTTACCTGAAGTCTGTTACTGGCTCAGTATTTTTCTGTATGCAGTTAAAGCTTGGAGACTGGGTTTTAAAACATGAGCCTTGAATTTCAAACTTGATACTGAATTTTAAAAAGTTGGTGAGTAAAGACTTGAACCATGTTGTGTCTATCCTTGTACACAGATAATAGCTTTCATTGAGTGTTTGTATGTATAGGCTTGCATAACATAGTCTGCAAAGAATGAAAACTGCTTTCTTGATATGAAGTGTCTCTTTCTAATTTGGTACCTGTACAGTATGGCTGGTATTTGTAATCCTGCCTGCCAGTCCGTAGACTTGGTTCATGCTGTAGCTAGTATATATAAGAAAATACTAAATACCAACTATCCCTGAAAATATCCCTGATTTTTTTTTTTTTTGTAGAAGTAGGTATAGCATCAATAAACTTTCACTTACTAGAACTGAAAATACGCAACTTTAGGAAACTTTTAAGATACCTTAAGCTTACGTACATAGCCATAAATGAGTGACCAGTTGTCTTCTGAGCTGACACCTTCACAAGAATTTCCAAGCACTCTTCTCCAGAAAACTCCTGCTTTTGAGAATTTTTCTTCTGTGAAGTACTGATTATTAATATGTGGCAGTACCTTCTCTTAAGGTGAGAACATTGTGAAAGGAGAAAGGGAATCTATCAGAAACCTCCTCGAAATATTTGATGGTTTGTTAGAGTATCTTACAGAAGAAGTCAGTGAATCTTCTTCTCAGAATGGAGGTGAGTAGACTGATGTCCTAGTTTAAGGTATTATGTTCTGGTACTACTGTATTATGGGCAGCTTACTTTTTCTGTTTGTCTGCTATCAAGTTAGCTTGCTGAGCGCTTAAGTTCTCATGACCATAGTTCTTGGTGTTCATGGATGGAATACAGCTCCCACTATAGGTAAAAACTGTTTCTTTGCTGTTCTCCTCACTAGCAGCTATAGGGAATGATATCCATTGGAAGATGTAAGCTTTGTGAAACCTCGTTTTGGTATACCCAAGGTGTTTCTAATGTAGCAAAGATTTGTTTGATGTTTTTGCCTTATTTATAACCTTGACAATGCAGAAGAGGAGAAAGACTGAAACTGACCATGGGGGGAGGAAATTTCAGTGGCCAAACTGAGTATTTACATTCCTTATTTTCATAAACTTACAAAATAAAAGTTTTCATAAACTCATAAAACTTTTCCCCAAAACTTGTTAAAAGGCAAGAATTGGAGACCATAATCTTTCTGCTTCATTCTTCTGGCAGAAACCTACTCCAGACAATTCATCCTCTGTTAGTATGTTGCTTTTCAAATCATAATGATTTATGGTTAAGATTCAGGGAGGGAAATGTTGACTTTAATTGGAACAATGAGCAAATGTCCCTTTTACTTACTAGGAGACAAACGGGATGACTTAAGCTTTCCTGTGAAGTGGGTCTTGGGAGCTGATCCATAGCAGGAACTATTTTGAGGGAAGTGCTAAACAGGGGAAGAGAAGCTACTCAGCCCTTCAGAGGCATCATCATTACTGCAGACTAAGTACTGGTCTTCCTATCTTAAAGCTGAGAAGACTTGTCATCACTGGCTGTTGCACCCTGCGAGTAAAGGGGATAGCACTTGGTGGCCGAGACAATTGCCTCCTGTCCTGTTTCACTGTAAATAGCAGAAAGAGGGCAGTAGCAATTTTCAGTGCCTGAACTTCCGCTTTTCCCGTCTCTCAGACTGCTAGTGCTGCTACCCAATAGGTGTTAGTGGCTCCAATTTTCTAGTTATAAGTACAGGATTTAATTCTTTTGAGGAAGAAGAAAGGGATTATTTATAATTGAAACAATGGGGTATATGATAGTTGTATCGCTTTTCAAAACTTACCATAAAAGTTGCCTCCTGCCCAAAGGGGGGGCATTACATGTCATCATTTTAGATATTATAATATCAATAATGTTATATTACACCTGAACTGTTTTGATGATATTGGCAATAATACCTGTTAGTTAATCGGTAGAAGTAGTTTTCCTGAAAATAGTTGCCTCTTCATTATTAACAGATGAGGCAAATGTGCTGTCCAATAATGAAATTCAAATTGCATCTCGAGAGCAGCTGGAAAGCAATGCTGGTCAACTTATGCAACCTTCAATATTCTCATCAGTTGAAGGGTAAGAACAATTCTGAATATTTACATTAACATAGTGATTGACTATTTTTTGTGTATCTGTGGAGAAACTAGTAGGTATGCAAGTAGGAAACATACTGATTACATATGTCAAATGGAATGTGAAGTAACTTTCTCCTTTAGCAGCAAGACAGTTAAAATTAGATTCAGAAATTTTTTGCTCTTGAAGAGTGCTGATGGCATTTTGTTTCCCTTAGGTTTACTTCACATGTGGAATGAAACAAGTTGAAAACTTTGTCTCAGTTTTAAATGATTGTATTTTAGTTAAACTGCGTTTGATTTATCTTTATGACTTGAACATCAGATTGTTTTGTAGAAGCTGGTCTTTTATGTCCTACAGTATAATAGCCAGCTACCTGAAGTAGAGTTGCCACTCTTCTGCAGCTCCATCTTGTGGACTGAAGGGGCAAAGACTTTTTGAATAAATACAATATGGCTTTATGTTCCTCTTAGGTCCCGGTCAGAATTTTTTGTTCCATCTTGTGATGTAGATGGATCAGAATCTACCAGTGAATTAATTAGACTTGGAGATACTGCTCATTCATTTTCCAAGAGAGAAGAAGGTGAGTTTGGGTGAAAAAAATTTAAGACTACTCTGTAGTAACATTTCTAGGCTTTTTTTTGTTTTTTCTTTTCTTAAAGTTATTTCTTTTAGACAAATACTTTGTTTTAAACTCTTATTTTACAAAAAAACCCACCCCCCGCCCCCAAAACAACCCAACCCACAATAAGCAACGTACCTGTAGTTGATCTTACTGAAGTTAAAATGTAGATTTCTCAAAGTATTTCAGACACTGTTTTTCATGATTCCTGAGCTACATTATTTGAATAAAGGTTTGTTGTTTGACTTCTAATTCAGTTCTCCCTACAAAAGTATTTTATTTTGTTCAATAGATTTCTGAAGCCTTTAATTTATTTCATTTATTGCAGTGTAAAATGTATTACTTAAGACTGTAAAAAGGCTAGTAAGTTCATTCTTAAAGATGACTCGTTAGGAGTGTGTGCCACTTAAAAACATAACGGGTGGCTCTGGAACAAATAATGTGCAGACTAATTAAATTGAGTCCATTCCTATTTCCCTATAAGAATATTCCTTTTCTTATTGGATTAATCTCTCCAAGTAGAGGCATAAAGAAGTATTAAGAATTCTGAAACTTTTATTGAATAGAATTACAAGTAGGAATTTAACAGACCTATTTTGATCATAGTATGGATTGCTAACACCAAGTTATTAAATATCAAACCTGAAAATTGTCCATCTAAATAGTGCTTTATAGTTCTTAATTTAATCTTTTTCAAACACCACTTCTAGAATTCCAGTTGCCTGAATTGTTACCAGCAGAAAAGGACAAGGGGGTGGAAGAATCTAAAAATTCAGAGGCTATTTCAACATTACCTAGACAGTTTTCTGAACCTGAAAGGGCCATTGTAAAGGAAAAGGAAGATGGTGAGTATTTGTTCTTCTGATATCTAATCTATCTGATTTTGACTAAGGGGTGTAGGATACTCAGGTAGTGTAGAGGAGAACCTTAGTCATGGATGGAAACACTTCGGCTATATTTTGAAATAAATAAATCCTTTTCAGAAATTTTTGTATTTTAGTGTCCCAGAGTATGCAAACTCCATTATCTGGGGTATTTCTGCTTCAGCTAGCAAAATACTAAAAGTAAAAAGTCCTTGTGGAAGATCCTAGCATCCAAAATCATGTTCTCAAGGGGGCTTTTGTGCTGTTCTTAAGGACAGTTATGGATAGATTGTGTATTGGGTGAATCACTCTGACAGGTGGCAGCCATCTTCCCCAATTGTCCCTGGCTTCTGCTGACTATGGCTCTGTCATTGCTTAAAGTTCCTGCACATGAGCAGGCATTCCCCAGCATGTATCTAAAATGA